TCAGCCTTCCAAGTAACCGGAACTACAGGTGCGCGCTACCACGCCCAGCTAATTTTTGATTTATTGTAGAGATGAGGTCTCGCCAAGTTGCCCAGGCGGGTCTCGAAACTGTGGGCTCAGGCAATTCACTCACCTTGGCCTCCCAAAGCGCGGGATGACAGGCTGAGCCACCGAGCCCGGCCTACAATGTTTTTCTAACCAAAATAGCCCCCATTTCATCGCCCCCTGCTACCTGCGGGCATGTCACACATGTTAGGCAGGTCTCTTAGTGACAAGGCATCTGTACATCTATATGTCATGTAGTCTTCTCGCTCATATGGATCACATGTGCTTTGGGGTCACATCTGATAGGCCACCCTTATTTTTACCTGTCGTGTGGCTGATGTCACGCTAGAGGTCCCTGAGAAGTGTCTGCATTATAATTGTTATTAGCATTATTTTGAACACACAGTTCCTTTGCAGCAATTTTTTGAGTCATGTCTCCACTTGGCGAGAGTTGGTTCAGTTGACATTAGACCATATCACCGAGAGTCCAGGAAGCCCAGCACTGTGACCCACACCATGTTGTAATATGCCAAAGAAAAACAGGAGATGCCGCACTTCCAGGGAAGTCCCACTCTTCCCTGAGGACACACCGCGTGATAAACAGGACATGGGATCTTCTCACATATGCACAGATCAAGTGAGGACATAAATTAATAAAGCTTAATTACTTTAAGATTAAAAAATGTCAATCGAAGTTCCAATATTTTGTCTTGCTCTGAGCATGCATGGCCCACTGTGGGGACTGGGTTTAGTCTAGAGGGAGAGACCCATGGATTCTGAACACGCCAAGGTGAAGATGGAGAGGTGGGAGTGAGTTGGGAAGGGGCACGTCCCTGGCCCAGGCTGGTGGCAGTATGCGTAGAGGAAAGGAGGAACAGGAAGGAGAGGACGTCGTTTGGAGAAACCCAGAAAGTGGGCTGAAGGGACACAGCTGTGCACACTACGAGGGCAGAAGGTGGGGAAGAATGACACAAGGTAGTTGCTGGGGGCTGAGGATGACAGCCAGGTCTCCTGTTGCAAGCCTGTGGGTCCTGCTAGCTTCTCACAACAATCACTCTGCAAAGCTGGGATGATTACCCCCATTTTACAGATCAGTAAAACAAGGCTCAGGGAGCTTAAGTAACTTCCCCAGGTAACAAAGTTCCTGGAGCTGAATCAGGTTTGAATTCAGGCCTCTAACTTGGAAGGCCACACTCTTTCCAGTACCCTTCTCTAGGGGAGAGAGAGAGAAGGAAGAGGAGAGAGAGAGCAAAAAAAGAGATAGAGGAGAGAGAGAGAGAGAGAGAGAAAAGAGAAGAGAAGAGGAGAGGAGAGGAGAGGAGAGGAGAGGAGAGGAGAGGAGAGGAGAGGAGGCAGAGAGAGGAGGGCAAAGAGAGACAGAAGAGAGAGCGAGTTCTCAGCTTCTGTACGGCCAAGTGCAGCCTCCAATCCAGAAAAGTCAGCTAGGAAAAGTTGGTGGAGGTAGGTGGCCATGTGGCTCAGCATGAGAATCCAGCAGCCGGTGAGTCACAGTGATGGGGTAGGCAGGTGATATCACTACATGGAGGCCTGCCTACCTGAGCCTAGCACACAGCACGGTGTGTCGTGCCTACTGTTTGTGTGTCCATCTCCCCACTAAAGCTATACAAGGACACGAACTGTGTCTTCCTCACCACTGCCACATCTCTAGTGCCCAGTGCGGCCCCTGGAGTGCCATGGGCACTCAGTCAAAACAGGGACAAGTAACAACAGCAAACACCGCAACAACACTTATTACGGGCCAGGCCCTACTGTAAAGGTTTTACATGTATTAATTCATTTAATTCTCATAATAGCTCTTGGAGCTAATATTATCCCCATTTTATGGATGAGCAAACTGAGGCACAGAGCAGTGAGGAAACACGCCCATATCACCCCACTGGTGGGGGAGCTGGGATTATGAACCAGGCAGTTTGACTCTAGAGGAGAAATTCTGGAACATTCTCTCCACTGTCGCTAAGTAAACAAATGAATGAATTCAGGAAAAGCCCAAGGAGGTGTCTAGGCAGATGACCCTCAGGTCCAGTGGAGGCTGAGGGAGACGCCTGCCTGGTGGAAAGCCCAAAACCCTTCTAGAAGCCTCACCCCAGGTGTTACAAGGGATCTGGAGAAGGAGAGCGGGGGGCGGGAGGGAAGGGGGGATGTGGGGGTGCTCAGGAGGGAAGAACTGACGGGATGCCTGATAACCGCACCACAATGTCACCAAAGTGTACAGAAGGAGGGCAGAAGAACTGATCACTCCAAGGCATGTGTCACCAACGTGCCGGCGTGGAACTGACAAAGGACCAGGTGGAGGAGCCGTCCCCTCCCTCATGGCCGCACAGTCAGATCAAGGACATGACAAGGGATCCTTTTCAGAGAAGAGAACTGGGAGATCCTGGAAGCAAAAGCAGATGAGCTGCGACTCCCATGGGTGCTGCGAGGGAGCACGCGGGAGCCAAGGTGTTCCTGACGCAGGCAGGGGAAACCGTAGGGTTGACCTGACCCCCGAGGCATCTGAGCATGCCAGCCGAAAGAACCTTCCCGGCAGGACACAGGGCCATGTGGTCTCGAGACTCTGGCGGGCCTTGGCAGCTTATAGACCAGGGAGAGAAGCAGAGGCCCCGCTTGGGCCCGCCCTGTCCCCCTAATCCCAAGGAGGCCTCAACGAAGGCAAACTCGTTTCATGAGACAGTTTTGGCCTCGACTCCGCGAGCAGAGCTGGGAGGAGAGGGTGAGGACATGTGTCTGGCCACAGGGCTGTTTACAGGCTGTGCCGATCTCAGCCTGTGATGACAGGTGCCTGCAGCAGGCAGATGTGGAGGGTCCCACCCGGGGCACACCCCCTTACCCGGAACGGATGCACATGCTCACGAGGCCAGCTGAAGGCCAGGGCCTGTGAGTAGGAGGGCTGCCTCTGCAACCGAGGCAGACAAGCCCGAGAGAAAGTCCCCCGCCCCCTAGAGAGTGTGGTGCCAGACCCCGTCCAACTCTGGCTGAGACCTGGGCCTGTGTCCTAACCTCTTATCTCTAGAAGTGGGGGCAGAAACTCAGGTCCTGGGGGCTGTTTGGGAATTAGCTTTGCTGTGACAATG